AGGCGGTAAACAAGGTCGTCGTGGTCCCCGGCGTGATCCACAAACTCCATTCGCCACATTGGCTTTAACCAATGATCCACAACCTCAACCAGAGTACGACAGACGACTCCTGTGGACTTTGGACAGTGGTGCAGCATTGCATGTTACCTACAGAAAGGAACTTTTCACAGAGATGCACGAGCCTGAACCAGAACTACGTGAACTTTATTCTTTTTCAAATCATCCTTGTCAGGTCAAAGGAAAAGGAACTGTTTATGTTGAAGAGCTCGATGCATTCATTCCTGATGTTTATTACATACCAACAGCAACCAGTAATTTGCTTAGTCAGTATCACTTGTCTAGAATGTTAAAGTTCCAAGTTCACCACCTTGAAAAAGCAAGTTACATAGTTAAAGATGGAGATATTGTTGCTGAAACCATATTAATTGGTGGTGTTTATTACTTAAAGCCAAAGCCTAAACCACAAACACAGGCAAGTATGCAAACTCCAAAAAGGCAGAGCACAGGCCCAGAGAGAGATGCTCCAGAGAGAGATCCTGTTGCTATTCCAAAGGCTCCTAAAGCCAACAAAAACAGAGTTGGTAAACAGGTTGCTCAGAGCAAGCCTGAGGTTCCGCATAAAAATGTTAATGTTGAGAATTCACTAACAGGTAAACCTTTGCATTCCAGGTGTATCCACAAATGGCATAGAAGATTGGGGCATGCCAGTTTCCGTGTTCTTAGGAAGATGCCGGAGTTCGCAAAAGGTTTGGATCTAAAGGGGTGTAAGGTGTTTTTGGATTGTGCTGTATGCAAGAAGGCCAAATCCAAAGCAGCAGCCATTCCCAAACGCGCTACACGCCTGTCAACACGCATTTTTGATTTGGTTCACATTGACATAGTTGGTCCATTCCCACCATCATTTGGTGGTAGAAAATATTTTCTAACAATTGTTGATAATTACTCTAGATATGGATATGTATATCCTATGAAAGAAAAATCAGAGACTTTTCAGATCTTTAAAGACTTTGCAACCCTTGTTTCTACCCAACACCAAGTTCGCATCGCCAGAATCCAGAGTGATCGTGGTGCCGAATTCATGTCTCAGAGTTTCCAGGACTGGATGCGTAAGAATGGAATTATTCATCAGACGTCGGCGCCTTACACACCGGCTCATAATGGAGTCGCAGAACGAAGACAAGGAGTACTGCAAACCATGATGCGTTGTCTCCTAGAAGACGCCAACCTTGATATGATATACTGGGGTGAAGCTATCAAGTATGCAAATTACATTGTCAACCGTACTTGGAGCAGTGTAACAAATCAGACTCCTTTCTTCATGTTGTATGGCTACAAGCCCAATCTTAAAAACATCCATATTTTTGGTTCATATGCTATGGTGAACATTCCCTTAGCTCAAAGAAGAAAAGGAAGTCCAGCAGCAAAAAGACTGAGATTTATGGGTATTGATGATAACTCAAAGTGGAGCAAATTTATTGACTCTAAACATGTAATTGTGATTTCCCAATCTGCTAATTTTGAAGAAGATATTGACTGGTCCAGGATTCATTCCAATGATCCTGGAGTTTATTTTCCCAGAGATGATACTGCTGATGTTACGCAGATTGATGATCAAGATTCCACTGATTCTTCTCAACCCGATGTTCCGTCTTCGCAAGCCGCGGATGCTGACGCTAGCGACGAAAGTGAGGACGAGGACGAAGCAGAAGAAGATTGGACAGTTGTTCCGAGACGTTCCAAGAGGGTCACAAAAGGGATCCCTCCACAACGATATTCTTGGCAACTGACAAAAGCACCCTTGCCTTTGATTTGCAATGTCACACTTCCACCTGATAATTTCACACAAATCAAGCAGCTCCCTGATTCAGAGCAAGACAAATGGTATGAGGCAATGCAGGTTGAAATGGACAGTCTAAAGAAACTTAAAGTATTTACACCTGCAAAACCTCCAGCAAACAAAAAGGTCATTGGCACTCGATGGGTCTACAGAATCAAAAAGAAACCAAATGGTGAGTCACTGTACAAGGCCAGACTTGTAGCTCAGGGTTTCGCTCAACGTTATCCTGAGGACTACACAAATACTTACTCACCGACAGTCAGAACTGAGAGTGTAAAAATTGCTTTAGCAACTGCAACTATCCTTGGTTTAGAAGTTTTCCAGTTTGATGTTGACACGGCTTATCTACATGCAGACCTAGACGAAGAGATCTACGTGAGAAGTCCTCCAGGATTCCGACAGCAAGAAGGGGATACCTGGTTCCTAAACAAAAGTCTTTATGGTCTGAAACAATCTGGTTTAATGTGGTACTTATGTCTTACTGACAAACTAAATTCAATGGGCTTTATTAAGTCCGAAACTGATGAGTGCGTGTTCACAAAAAGATCTAACAATGCATATGAGATAGTTCTTGTTTATGTTGATGATATTGTTTATATTGGTCCAAATAAGCAAATGAGTGAAATTTTTGCCAAAGCTTTGCAGAGATACTTCACATTGAAATCATTAGGTCACATTAGCACTTATTTAGGTGTTCAGATTGAAAAGACACAGAAGGGGTTTAGTCTTTCACAAGAAGATAAAATTGAACAAATTTTGCATCATTGCAACATGAAAGATGCTAACACAACAAAGACACCCATGCAAACAGATTTTCATAACTTGACACAAGAAGAAAGTCCTGAATTCAAGGATCAAACACTTTATCGTTCAGTCATTGGGTCAATGTTATACATTAGTAGTTGGACCAGACCCGACATTGCACTTAGTGTTAACCTCTTATCACGACACGTAGGGAAAGCAAAACAGTTTCATTGGACATGTATTAAGAAATTATTGAGATACCTAAAATACACTAAACACATGAAGTTATTGTTAGAACCAACACATTCTGATTATGCAGAATTATGTTGTTATGCAGATTCTGATTGGGCAAGTGATAAGAAATCACGTAAAAGTACTTCAGGTTATATGATGTTCTTAAATGGATGTCCTGTTTATTGGCAAGTACGTAAACAGAATTTTGTTTCTTGTTCATCTACTGAAGCTGAATATGCTTGTGTTTCAGATGCATGTAATTCCCTAACTTGGTTTGATGCTTTAGTCACAGATATCTGGACACACCCGATCCGACCGATCACCGTGATGGAAGACAATGAATCGGTGGTTTATATTTCTGAATCTCATTTCACAGGTTCTAGGTCCAGACACATTGACATCCGTTATCAAAACATAAAGCATTTAGTGAAAAAAGGTTTTGTCAAAATGCAGTATGTATCTACACATGATCAAATTGCTGATATGCTCAACAAACCACTTCCAGCAGCTCAACACGAGTATCTGCGTGAGAAGATGTGCCTTATTTGATGATGAACTGATATTCGCTCAACTGGCAAAAGAAGGGGAATGTCACTGCGTTATTTTATTTACCAGCTGAGCTCATTATTTCTGGACTGTCAGACTCTCCGTAGCTTGCTTGCCAACTTCTTATCAGTAAGCTACGTGTTTCCGTACACACCCACATTCCTTCACTTGCTCTTCACTCTCTCTTTCCTTTGTTCTCTTGCCAGAGGTCCGGCTCAGATAGCCGGCAAGAATTACTTTCAAAAATGTAACAATTAACTTTTCTTAGTTAGTGAGGTGTTTTATTTTCTTTATAACAAATAAATGAGTTTTATTAGAAACTTTTCCTCGCGTTTCTTTTCAGATTATTACAACTTGGAATAAGCCATGATGCATCTCCTCTAAACCAGGGTAATTAGTCCCAGAGCCAAACATGGGATTAATAAATGCCCTGACATTTAAAGCGCTCCATGGCATAGGACCTGGGTATTTGCGGGACCGCCTTCTGCCGCCGATAGCCTCCCACCGACCAGTACACTCCCACAGAGAGGGACTCCTCAGGGTGCCGTCAACCAGGCAATGTTGGCTGGCGACCCCCAGGGGGAGGGCCTTCTCTGTGGCAGCTCCCGCCCTCTGGAACAATTTGCCCCGGAGATAAGAAGGATATCGGATCTCCGGGTCTTTCGCCGTGCCCTGAAAACTTTTCTTTTCCATCAAGCAGGGCTGGTGTGAAAGCCCCCCCCCTTTTTTAGTTTTTTAGTTGTTTAGCTTTTAATCTGTCAATGGGTTTTAATTCGAATAGTTCTAAAATTGGCCCAAAGTATATAATTCTTTTAATAATTTTAAATTTTGTATTGTTATGTGTTTTAGTTTTGGCTGTGCACCGCCCTGAGTCCACTAGGAGAAGGGCGGTATACAAATTGAATAAAATAAAAATAAATAAATAAATAAAAGCCAAGTCTTCAAGTCCCGACGGAAGGAGCGGAGATCAGGAGCCGTCCGGAGCTCAGTAGGTAATTCATTCCAGAGGGTGGGAGCACCCACAGAGAACGCCCTACCCCTGGGCACAGCAAGGTGACATTGGCTCGCCGTTGGAACCCTGAGGAGAGCGGCCCTATGTGAGCGAACAGGATGGTGAGAGGCAGGTAGGAGAAGGTCATGCAAATATCCCGGACCTAAGTCATGAAGGGCCTTATAGGTGAGGACTAGCACCTTGAAGCGGACCCGGAGAGCCACTGGTAACCAGTGCAGCTGACGCAGGAGGGGTGTTATATGGGAGTAACGAGGGGCTCCCATAACAACCCGTGCAGCTGCATTCTGGATCAGCTGGAGTCTCCGGGTGCATCTCAGGGGCAGGCCCATGTAGAGGGAATTGCAGTAATCCAAAATATCAGAGCATTTTATTTTACTAAAATTGCTGATGTTCTAGAGATTTCCTTGAATCATATTTGGTTAACGTTACAACTACTAGACACAACATTTTTGTTAAAAAAAAGGATGACTATGCTTTACAACATTTTTTGATACGCTCTGCAAATTCTGAAGCTTGTGGCCTTTCTATCAAGAATTAAAAGTAATACTGAAACTGTATTTTCCAAATTAACAGAATATTTAAATGATAATACTACTGTATACATTACGATATACTTGTAATAATTACCGATTTCCTAGTAGATAACTCCAGTGTTTTTCAATAAAAGCACAAATGTCTTCTTTCCATCGGAAATAACCTTGGCGACCAGTTCCTTCTAGAGATAGATTATACATAGCCAGCATGACAACCTATTTTACGAACAGAAATGCTAATATTAACACCTTAAACAATTCATCTGCTTATGTATAAAAACCTTCTATCTTCTAAACTTTGTGTCATAAAATTTAAAAATTTCCAAAGATGAATTACTGATGCAATTCTATATTCAATTTCCTAATTTAATTACATCTCAAGCCACAGAAAACCCAAACATTCATCTTTCTTTAATCTTTATTTATTTATTAGTCCTTGGGCGATACCAAAGTGCAGAGTTCTAGAAACAAATTATTACTAAAATTTGATAAAAGCAATTTAAAATTGAATTGGATAAAATACAATTTAAAATGAAATTGGAATAAAATACAGTCTGAAATGAAATTGGAATAAAATACAATAATTTAATTGAAGATATAGATAAAATATGATAAAATTGTATTTCGGTGTTACCTCTGCAATCTACTTCAATCAGTCCCACATAAGCAAAATAGTTCGGTTGAGATCTGCATAAGTACTGTGCTGTGATAAATGTTATTTTCAGATTCTGGCCGCACATAAGGTAAATTGTTTTGATATGGGGATCCCATATCAAATGGGGGTCATTTGTTTGGTATATAGACCAAGGTACCTGTCTCTCACCATCTTCTGAAAGCTCAGAAGACTTTCCAGATGTTATCACAAATACATTCCTGACTTTGTCCCTTCCTTCACTTCTTGCCAAATAATAAAAACAATATTCTGAAGTAATTGGCAGAAATGATCTTACAATTGCCAGCTATAATCTTTGAAAACTCCTGGAGGATTGGTGAGGTGCCAAAAAAAAAAGAAGCAGCAGCAGACCCCCAATATTCTAATAAGGAAAGAGAAATAGTATGGTTGCAATGTAGAATAGAACAGAATGAATGACCTGGAAGGAACCTTGGAGGTCTTCTAGTCCAGCCCCCTGCTCAAGCAGTAGAATCTATAACATTTTAGATAAGTGACTGTCTAGACCAGGGGTCTGCAACCTTAAACACTCAAAGAGCCATTTGGACCCATTTCCCACAGAAAACACTGGGAGCCACAAAACCTGGGTGGACGTGGCCAACTCAATGTCACTCCCACATGACCCTCCCCAGCCATGCCTATCCGGATTTTTTTTTTTTTGGTAGTTTTTCTTTCATCATACATATTTTATGAACAGAGTGTTGACCGGGCCACATTTTATACATCTTGTATATATTAATCTTTATAATCTATTCCAATCTTCCCATTTTTTCCATATTCACCTCTTTTAGATAATTCTTTATCACAAATTAATCATTTTCCCCCACATCTTGTTATTTCAGCTTCTACCATATTATTTTTCCCCCAAGACCATTTTACATGTTTCCAATTTCAGCCATAATATTCTTTTTCCATACTTCATCTTATCTTAATTTCTTAATACATAATACATAAACAGTATCACTATCCATCCTTAATTTCTAATCTCTTACAATAACATCAATTAATTATCTTATTTCTCCATTACAGAATATATTTCTGAAAATCCCCATCCCACTTTTTAACATTTCAACTATCTCTTAATTTAAATTGTCTTCAAAATTAAACCAAATTGCCATTTCACATTTCATCTGCTATTTTGTTTTACTATAAGCAATATACATCACCATATTCAAACCTTACATTAAAACCCTTTAACTTAGTTGACCATTCACAATTAATAATATTGATACAGTTCCCTTAAATCTACTAATATGTACCTTATTTCTCTTCCTCCTTTCCACTAAACTTCCCTTCTTTAACCATTTTCTCTTGGTCTCTCCAAAATTCCACTTCTTGATAATTTTCTCCTTTTATCTCATTCTCTTTAACTTCTTCTTTTTCTTTTTTTATATCTATTAAATCTTTTTTTCTGAAACCTTTTTCTCACTTTTAGATATATTATTCACGTCGATCTCCCCAAGCTTTCTCCTGATCTCTTTCCACTATTTTCACTTTTTTTTTTCATTTTATTTAATTTGTATACCGCCCTACTCCCGAAGGACTCAGGGCGGTGAACAGGCACAGAATAAAACACATAGAATACAAAAATTAAGAGCAGAAGTAAAATCGAATTAAATCAATTTAGCCCAAGACAAATTTAAAACCCCAGGTTAAGAACAAATTAAAATTTACATTAAAAAAGAATGGGAAAAGTTAGGCCAGACCAGCCTGGTGAAATAAAAAGGTCTTAAGAGCGCGGCGGAAGGTGCATAGTTCCGGGATCCTCCGTATCTCCGGGGGGAGCTCGTTCCAGATAGTAGGTGCCCCCACAGAGAAGGCTCTCCCCCTGGGGGCCGCCAGCCGACATTGTTTGGCCGACGGCACCCAGAGGAGTCCCTCTCTGTGAGAGCGTACCGGCCGGTGGGAGGCCGTTTGCGGCAGCAGGCGGTCCCGTAAATAACCAGGCCCTAAGCCATGGAGCGCTCTAAAGGTAGTAACCAAAACCTTGAAGCGCACCCGGAAGACCACCGGGAGCCAGTGCAGTTCGCGCAAGAGAGGTGTAACCACCTGCGCAGCTGCACTCTGCACCAGTTGGAGCCTCCGGGTGCTCCTCAAGGGGAGCTCCATGTAGAGAGCATTACAGTAGAACATTTCCCTCTTTACCCTTTGATTGATTCTTTTTTGGGGGATGTTCCCCACATCCACTCTTTTTTTGCCACTGTAAATCCCAGTGAAATCATCTAACTGCTTTTTGCATTCAATTCCTTTTCCTTCAATATTATTTTCTTGCTCATTTATGCTCTTTTACCACCTTCTCCCCTATTTTCCGTTGCGCTGCTTAGTCAATTCATGTGTGGGATTTCCTCGCTTGTCAGGGACTGAGCGTAATATTTCTTTAAATTTGCATAGGCCACACCTCCTCTGCCTCCTAGATCCTCAGTTGTTTTCGCTCAGTCTTCTTGTAGGGACCTATTTCAAACTGCTCTGGCAGTTAGTTAGATAGGTGTTTAGAGAGGCTTTATTATTTTATTATTTTATTTCTTTTGTTATTTTATTTGTGGGAGCTGAAGAGTGCAGGTTTCTGGCTGAAGTTGCAGCTGGAGCTGCTTAATGCTGCTTGTGGTGGGTGAGGTCACCACCCTCACCCCACATTTTAGCAGGAGGAGTTTTTTCCGGGGTGGCATACTCCGAAAGGCGTTAAGCTGTTGATTTAGCCGCCGGCAAACCTGCTGGTCACCCGGTACGCCGGAATAACCGCGGCTGCCATTTTAAGCTCCTTTTAGTGTAGGGCGGCTCCAGAGTCAATGCTCGGGGCTCCGAGGCAAACTCTGAGGTGATTTCTTCTGACTAGCGCTCGAAGAGCAATTAGCTCTAGTGCATTGAAAGCCTTGGGACCGGGCCGCACAGAAGATTGAAGTTTGGTTGGACGAGGCTGGCCGCGGAGAAGCGCAAGAAGCCTGTGGATTGCTTCGCGCTATTTTGATGCCAGGTTTGACGGTCCCAGTGGCGTGTGATTGTTTACATCTCCACCGCTAATTATTGACTGCACAGAGAGGCAGTGATCGGAGGGCTTAGCCCACGCCATAATTTGAAAGCTGCTGGGGTGGCTGGATTGGAAGAAGGCTTATTCAAGTGTTTTCCAGCAGAGCAGCCAGAGCGCTGGGAGAGCTTAGCTCTCAAGCAATTTTGTATCATTCTGGGAGGGAGCTGGCAGTTGATTTAGGCGCCAACTCTGCTATTTCTTCAGAGTCACTGGTGCCTTGCAGTGACTCTTACAATGGCTGACCCAGAGTTCTCCTCAGACATCGAACAGCCTCAGACTCCCCCCAGAGCTAAAAAGACCTCTAAGTCTAGGTCTAAGAGCTTTTCTTCTTCTTCCAATAGGAGAGAACCTGACCAGGGGATTCCTAGGTCTACCATTGAGGACAGAGTTGCCCAGAGACGGCATAATGCCCTGGAGAGGCAGTTTGAATGGGCCAAGAAACAGGTCCAGCCAAGTACTGCGCCACCTTCTTCTCAGTTAGAGGAGGAATTTGTATCTCAGCCTGTGGCTGCCAGGGTTCCTTCTGTTACAGCCTTAGAGCTTCAGGGGTGTCAGGAGAAAGATTCAGGACCTGTCCTGGAGACCCTGAGGGGATCACAAGCACTACAGCCAGGGGCCAGATTGGCACCAAAGGCCACTTTTACCCCAACCACAGCGGGGCTCCACGCGGGGGAGGGGCAGGGACAAAGACAGTCCTTTGATTTTCAGACTTTACTGACAAATGCATTAGCCCAGGCTTTGGCCTCGGGACTTAATCAGCAGGGTCATATGCCACCCAACTTGACAGGTTGTCAGCCTCAAGTCTCCATACAATCGAGGCATCAACCTTTACCTGTCGCCCAACAAGAATCAGTCAGTAGCGAGGATTCATGGCAGGCAGAAGGGGACCCAGGGGACCAGGAATTTTCGGCGGACGAGGGAGCACTGCCAGATAAGCCGGCCTTTGCAACTCTTTTCCGTCCATCTGTTTTCAAGACATTGTTACACAAGGCAAAATGTTAGCAACTAACATGGGGCCGGTAGTGAACTCAGGGAATCAGGTAGAGGGCTCGCAGACGCCTCAGAATGAATTCTTTGCTGTTCCCGCCCCTGACCATGATTTTATTCCATACCCGGAATTATTTTCTGAGGTAATTAAGAGGCAGTGGGATCTCCCTGGGGCTTTTTCGACGCCCATGGGACATGACAAAAGGACTTATTGTGTAGACCCAGTATTAGACAGGTTGTTAGCTATTCCCACAGTGGACACTCCCGTTGTTAGTTTGACTTCCTCTACTGTTTTGTCTAATGATGTTTCAGAAGTGTTAAGAACTGAGGATAGACGGGCGGATGTTTCATTTAGAAAGACACACCAAGCAGCTGCCTGGGCGGTGAAGGCAGCAACTTCTGCCTTTTTAAATAGAGCTAATTTAATCTGGCTGAGGCAATTGCGTGACCGTCTTCCTCCAGACGATTTACGTATCCAGCAGGATATCAATAAAATGGTGGCTGCTGCCGAGTATTCGGCAGATGCATCTCTAG